ATGGCATCCCAGAACTGGAAAGCTGGATGTGTAAATTAAAAAGCAAAAAGCACATATACACTCTTAATATCCTAATACCTATTACATGTGATCTCTTTCAAAGTAGCTTTAAATGAGAAGTGCAGTTACTCTTTGATATAGCTGCTAGAAACATAGCCAGGATGCCCTTTGTTATAAATTTGAAAAATGAGCCCGTATTTCGTAAAGGCTCATAGTAAATGAGTCTTCAAAACCAGAACATATTATTCCCTTTTTGGTTTTTTCTCTATTTAAAATATAAATCTGCACCAAATACAGAATTGTTCCCTTCACTCGGCAGAATCCTCTTGATGTGACTGTTGGAAAGAATCCCTTTCAGCCACCATGACAGGATAAGTGCAATGAGAAATCCACACCACACCTAAGTTCCCTCAAGGCAACCAGGAACCGGCATCAGCATCATCTGGAGGCCACGGCAGGTGACCCACCCGAGGGACACAGGCCATGGAGTGTGAGCCACAGTGCATGTAATCCAAACCTGGACCCAAATCCAAAGGTATGTCAGATATCTGGACACTGTGCTTGTAAAAGGAACTGCACCACCAAAGGGACTGTGCCTGGTACAACATAAGAGTGAGGGAGGACACTAGGTTTTCACCCCCAAAAATCCTGATCTCTTATTTAGAGCTTTCCCTATGGCGATCATCAGAAGAGTCTCTTTAAACACAAGAATGAATTTATTCTCACAGAGTAAAAAAATGCCTTAGAAGTATTATCCTTGTTGTAGAGGCACAGAACAGGTCCATATTTGCAAACACATCCATGCAACCTGAGGCAGCCTGGGGCTGGCTCCCCAGTGACGCTGTGCAGCACTGAGATGTGCAGGACACCAGCAATAACTCTGCAGAGTCAGGGCTAATCATCACATCCCTGCTCTGGCCCTGCTCACCCCATGTCCTGAAGGAGGAGGATTTATTTGCTTCAGAAGGAATTTGGGAATTCAGCCTATATATTCAACTTGCACATAAATCACGGGTGTTATCTAAATGGGGTGGCAAACGCAGACCCGGGGAACACGCATAATTCACTCACATTGCCTTGAAAAGGCACCGAGAAGGCTCGGTTTGAGAAATTTTAAAACCCAACATTCTTTGTTGTGCTTTGCAGTCCTGAGGGAGCAGCGAGAGCCGGGTGACATCCCCGCAGGCCCGGGGCGGGCAGGATGTGCCGGGCGGCAGCGGGGCCCCGGGGATGCCCGTGGCGCAGCCCGGCTGTGCCAGCACGGCTCAGAAAGAAGCGCCGCTGTCCCTCGGCAGCGCGGTGCCCGCCGGGGAGCCGCGGGGAGCGGCGTGGGCTGCCGCAAAGGGCGCCTGGCCCCCGTGCACCCACCCCTCGGGGGACCACCCTCGACATCGCTTCCCAGGGGGAGAAAAAACCGCGGGGGGTTTGCCTGGAAGGACTCCCTTCGAACCTCCGAACGGGCCTCGCGGGTGGGAGAAGGGGATATTTGCTGCTGGTTGCCCTTTCTCAGGCACTACGAAGGAGTTCTGCCCCTGGCCCGGCCGGCCGCGCTCCTGGACGCGCTGTCGGGCGGCTCTTCCCGGCGGAGCCCGCTTGGCTCCACAGCCCGGCGGCTTTAAACAAAAGGCTTGGTCTCTTGGTTCGTTGGTTGGTTTTTATTCTTTTTTTTTCTTTTTTTTCTTTTCAGAAAACAACTGCAACCCCCTTTTCCGAGACTATTTCTCCCCCCCCGCCAGTCCCCCCGACCACTCTGTTCGCCCCACTGCACATTTCGGCTCCAGCTCCCCAAACTCTTTGATCTCCCCCGCTGTCTCCTTACCCGGAAGAAAACCCCGGCTCGCTCAGCTGGGAGCTCGGCGCACACGTGGGCGCCCTGGCGCGCCTCCATGCTCCTGCCAAATTTAGTCACACAAAGAGCTCGGGGGGGGAACCGGGGGGGGATGAAAGGGGCCGCCGGCGGGACATCAAAGGCGCCGCCGCCCCGCCCCACTCCCGCCCTTCCCTATATAGGGGGCGCCGCCGGCGGCCCCGCTTCGCACGCCAGAGTGTCCCGTGTCCCCCCGCCCTGCTTGCTGCGCCCGGAGGGATCGGCACTGGCACCCCGGTTCTCCCCTCTCAGCCCTGCTGAAGCTCCACGGGGCTCGTCCCGCTCCCCGAGCGCTGGAGCTCAGCCCGCCCCAGGGCCGGTTTGCCCTCCCCGTTCTCGCCCCCCAGCCCGCCCTGAGCCCGGGCAAGCCGGGCTGGCCGTCGGGGAGTGCTCGAGGTGCGGGTCACTTCAACGCTGAAAATGCAAAAACCCCAACAAACAAAAACTGCTCAACTCCCTCTGAAACGCTAAAACCCATTCAAACGACCAAAAAAAACCCCAGCAAAACCTGTCCAAAATTAAACAACACAGCAAACAAACAACAAAAAACAAAACCAGAACCCGGTAATATACAAACTCACGCTAAAAGCAAAAGAGGGGAAAAAGAAGAAACACCTCAAGCGCAAAAATCGCCCCTACGAAAGTACCAAAGGCGCGGTAGCCGCTGCGGAGCCGGGCGCCGGGCTCGGCGGCGGGCGCGCTCCCGGTGGCGCGGGGAGGGCGGCGGGTCCCGCCGGGGGCGACAGCGGGGCCACCGTGGGGCGTCCCCATACCCCGGGCCTTGTCCCCCGCCTCCGGCCGTGCCCCAAGGACTGCGAGTAAAGCGACAGCTTTGTGTTGTCTCCAGTCAAATCTGACGTTGGAGTTGACGTTTCCTGAGTTTATCTTTTTGTCGTAAATCATTACGGTTTCCACACACACATTCCCCCGCCCCGGTCCCGCCGCCCCCATCCCGGCCCTTTTCTGCCTTCAAAAAGGCAAAAAACCGATCCGGGAAAGACTCCAGCCCACGTAAAGGCACGGCGGAGGGGCGGGGGGAGGCTGTTTTTCCAGAGGGACACGGTAATGAAACAGAGGAGTGGCCGCGCTGCCGGCTCCTGCGGCGGGGTCCCTGCCTGCTCCCGGGCCGCGCCTCCCCGTCCCGTCGGGAGAGCGGGTTGCAACGCTCAGCCTCTCGGCGAAGGTCTTTTTTTTAGAACGGGACCGTCCCGGGGCAGCTTTGCCCGACCCGGGTGTCCGGTGCCCGCCGAGCGCCAGGAAAGGGAAGAGAGGCGGGAGGGATGCGGAGATGTGCATCTCCGCTCAGGAGCCATCCCCGAGTTGTCTGTCGTTTTCCAAACAACCGCTTCCCCATCGCCTCTCTGCAGCCGTCTCCGGGAGAGAGGGGGTCTCCCTGCATCTGAGGAGCACTGCACAATTAAGCCCTTTCCCAGAAGTTACATTTCTAATTTCTTCCTTTCTCGATCATTTATTTCACGCACTTGATCGACTTGGCAAGTCCATCCCCCGTTTACCGCTACCTTGCTCCCTTCCTCGGGGTTTGGAGGGTTTAATTTCTCAGCTGGATTTTAATTACCCGTTCGAGGACGATTTCGCAGAGCCGCGGGCGGCGGCGTGGGCAGCTGGGCTCAGCCCGCCCGTGTCCCGGCCGGCAGTGCCGCCGTGCCGAACCCAGCATCTGCCGAAAACGGATTGAGCATCCACATGTTCCCGTTCCTCCGGCTCCCGGCGCTTGAAGGTTTAGCAACCTGACGGGGCATGTGCAAAGCACAAAGCGCACTTTTCCGATGCCAAAATACTGGGAAGTTGTTTCCTGCAAAATGTGCGCCCATCGTGTTCGCAAAATAAAAGTTGCGGATCCTGACGTTCCCCAAGCGCAGCGCCTGCTTTTGTCTGGATGATTTTTTTTACTGCACCCGTGCCCTGTCGCCGGGTGATGCCGGATCAGGCGGGAGCTAACGGGGCAGCGCAGTGCTGGAGGAACGGGACAGGCTGGAGGGGTGAATCCCCGTTACTGCTCTGGCTCCATTTACCGGTCCGAAACTGGGACGAGCTCACCCCGGCGGGTTTCTCCCCGTCTCCCGGGGGCTACTACTCGTTTCTGCCGGGCACTTGCTGGATTCAATGGGGATGTCTTAATTCTGCCCTCCGTCCGATGCGGGCGCGGGCAGAGCCTGGTCAACCCCTCGCACACTTCCCACACCGGAGCAGCACCATGTGGCGATGGGGAAAGCTCAACAAAGCAGCCCTAAAAAAGCAGGTCTGTCCGCCCTTCCCGGGGATGCAGCTAGTGCCTGTGCCCTCCTCAGCGGGCTCTCGGCTGGCAAGGGAGAGGAGCGGCAGTGCCCCGGCGCACCCCCAGCGACGCGGACACGCACCCACAAACGTACACGTGCGCGTGTAGGTACACACACGGACAGAGCAGCCAGAGCAAAGTTTGCCCGGGGGCAGCCCCGCACCCGCTCCCTCCCGCCCCCCTCCCCTCCTGCCCTCCCTCCCTCCCGGGGCTGTGTCTTCCTCGGCCCCCCGCCCCTCGCGGTGCCGCCGAGCCGAGCCCAGCCGTGCCCGGAGCCGCGGACGAAGCGGCGGACAAAGGCCCGGTGGGTGCGCGGCACGGGCAGCGCCGGCCCCTTCCCCCGGGACGCCCCCTCCCCCTGCCCGCCTCCCCCCAGCCATTTTAACTCGGTCCCGCCGGGGTGGTGGCAGTTTCACTCGGAGGCGAAGCGCGGGCGGGCTCCGCTCCCCTCCGCGTCTCCTCGCCCCCGGGGTGAGCCCGGGTCCCGGGGGGGATGGAGGGGGGTCGGGTCTCTCGGGGGGCGGTCCCTGGCGCGGTCGGGACACGGGCGAGCGTATTTCGACCTATTCCGGCCGTGCGGCGCGTCGGGGCGAGGGTCCCCGGGACGTCGGTGTCGTGCGGAAGACGGGGTACCTCGGCCCCGAGGGGGCGGGCGGACAGGCGGGGGTCTCCGGCTGCCGAGAGCAGCCCCGAGGAGTTCACGGGATTTTTTCCTTCTTCTCTCCTCCTTCTCCTCCTCTCTCCTCCTCCTCCGCCCTCCTCCTCCCCCCGCTGCTCCGCCCGCTCCCCTTCCCGCGGCGGGCCGGCGGCCGCAGCAGACGCCGCGCTGCCGTGAGGATGCCGCAGCTGCCGGGGGCCGGGGGCGGCGGGGGGGACCCGGAGCTCTGCGCCACCGACGAGATGATCCCCTTCAAGGACGAGGGGGACCCCCAGAAAGAGAAGATCTTCGCCGAGATCAGCCACCCCGAGGAGGAGGGCGACCTGGCCGACATCAAGTCCTCCCTCGTCAACGAGTCCGAGATCGCCCCCGGCGCCAACGGGCATGAGGTGCGCGGCCGCGGGCTCCGCGGGGCAGCGCGGACCGAGGGGGCGCGGGATGCCGGCGGGCTCCGGCCGCCGCCGCGGGGAGGGAGCTTCGGAGGGGCACCGGGAAAAATTTCCCGTAAGAAAAGAAATCATTCCATCCCAAATCCTGTCTCCAGAGGTGCGCCGGGCAGAGCCCCTTCCGCGCTTCGGCCCGGGACGAGAAAGTTGCCGGGAGTTCCCCGACGGTGCGGTGGTATTAGACCTCAAGCAGCCATGAAATTTCCTCAGTAAAATCAGCGGGGTCGGAGCGTTAGCTGTAAACTCTTTAAGGGATTTGCATAAAACTGTTAGGGAAGAAATTCCCGACTCTAAAATAACTTCAGGGCGAGCTGGGAACCTGCCTTTTAAAAAATTTTGTTTAATTTTTTTCTGGTTTTTTTTTTTTTTTTTTTTGTCCCCTAAAGATCTGCTAAGGAGGGCAACCTGATTTTCATTATTATTATTTTTGGTATCTTTTTACCAAGAGCGTTTTGACCGCCAGAGCGCCAAATATTTTCCAGAAATGATCCACTTTCATTAAATGCAGGGTGCTTCTGCTAGAAATGCTTTGCAAAGCCATGTAGTTATTCACGTTGTCATAAAAGAATAGTTTACACAAATGTTTTTGGTACAGTTGCCTTCCAAGCGACTTAGGAGGAAAAAGAAAGATGTTAATCTTGTGCTCTAAAATCCTCTCTTCCTTCAAAAAACTGTAGCATTGTGTTTGATAAATGAGCATCCATACAATGACTTTTCTTCTTTTTCTTCTTTTCTGATGGTGGATTCCTTGTGGTCAGGTTTCCAGACAGACTCAAGCACAGGATTCCTACCATGATAAAGGCAGAGAACACCCCGAGGAAGGTGAGACTCACACAGTCCCGTCTTGCAATGTTGTCCCTCTGTGACCTGCGACACACTCTTCAAACTGGAACTTGGTTTCTTTTGGAAAACATAAATTTAATATCTTTTGGAGGGAAGGGATGCCAAAGCTTTTTCAAAGCGCATTTAAAAAGGAGACGAACGTGCCGCGCATTTATCTTGAGTGACCAAATGGTATTCCAGTTGTTTAGAAACTGATAAGTAGGCCAAATGGATCTTCACTGAAGAAGTAACTATTTTTAGGATATCACCTTAAATACATCTATCTCTTCACTCATGCAGTGTACAGTTGTGTTCAGAAACCCTCTGCTTTTCCCCATAGCCAAAGTCTGTCACTTAAGTCTCTTTTTTCAAATCTAAGTATGAGCAGATCTCCTGCATTTTTTAATGTATCAAGTGTTTAATTTCGATTGAGGAGGACAAAGGAAGTAACAAAGTTAATCAAATATCATTTAGGAAGCTGGACACGCATGCAAAGAATGTGTGCTGTGAAGGGTGGGAGATTATGTTTAAAATCAAATGCTTATCACAAGCTAAACCAGATTATAAATTCCGTATAAAGACAGAGTTCAGTCCGGGTACTTTCCAGGACACTTTGGCCATCTTCCTGCAAATTTGTAATTAAACAGCATAAAAGCAATGATGTCCATGCTCATAGCATTTGGGCAGTGAGGGGGAGGTGTTCACCTCTTGATAGTTTTCAGCTTTCCATCTTCTTAAACCCTCATTTTCAGGTCGTATCCTTGTCAGTGGGCATGTAGGTGGGAGACCTGTTCACCCAGTTTGTGGGACCTGGACCCAAACACTTATTTTTCCCGATCAAATAGCCTCTCACTGGGCTTCCCTACTGACTGTAGTACCATGTGTGCCTGACAGCCTCCCTCCCAAATTGTTAGGATCTCCTTCCAAGCCACCCCCTGCCCTTTAATTGTTCCCAGTGAGCATAGTCAGAATGAATTGTTTGCTGCACACACTGTCTCAGCAAGAGAAGGAAATTGTTATATCTAGTTATCACAGCCTTGTCCTCCCTTTCCTAACAATGATGTTGGAAACCCATACTGGCAATAATTCTGAATTGACAAATCCTAGAGGCATGTATAAAATTGGGGAAAACTGCTACGTGAGAAATGTGATGTCATTGCTGATGTGTCTACTTTGCTTTCAATGAGTAATAGCAAAATTATTTATTTTGAGGCTATTCTGTATTTTAAACATAAACTCCTCACCGAGAATACTCACTCCTTTAAGAATTTACTCTTCCTAAAAAGAAATGTTTTTACAAATTGTTTTCTGTCAGCAGTAATTTCCATGAGTAAGGAAACGTTTGCACGTAGAACATTTTTATATATGCACAGTACCTGTTTGAGTGCTCTAACTCATGAGAAATACATATGTGGGGAATAATGTAATCTTTGTTTCATCTTCCATAGGAAAGCATCCGGACAATGGCTTATACAGCAAGGGACCATCGTACTCTGGTTATTCTGGGTATATCATGATGCCAAATATGAATAACGACCCATACATGCCTAATGGATCTCTGTCGCCACCCATCCCCAGAACAGTGAGTTATCTCTTCCAAAGGCTGCTTTTGGCAAGCTGGCTTTCCTTCTGTTTGGTCTGTTTACAATGGGGTCTTTTGGGTAGCTTCAGTGACGAGGAAGGTTGAGCTTCTGCTGTTCAGAGCCTCTGTCCAGTGGAGTTTGAGAGCTCTTAGTGGTGTTGGTCGTGATCACAGTGGAAAAGCTGAGATTAATGTCTGTGAACAGGGCTGGGGGCTTTGTGGGGGGAGCTCTGGTTTACTACTGTAGGATAATGTATGGCAGAATGATGTAAATGCTGTCTTTGTAGTGACTGGGACAGATGTGAATTTTCTGGCTTTAACTCTTCGTTTGTTGAGGAAAATCAAGGGCTGGAAGCAGAACTGCTAAAGTTACATGACAGTAAGATGAGAAGATTGGATTTTTTTTTTGCTTCAGATGTGGCATTGCTCTTTGCTGATTTATATTTATTTCCACCATCAGTTGGTCTGTGTGAAGGCTTTATCTATCTGGCAGCATTGCTTTGAAACATACTCTGTATCTTCAGCCAGAAATTATGAAATGGTTGTTTAGGAATTAATATCAACCATGATGCAGTAGTTACAGCTTTCCCTTACATTGTGGTGAGCACTGATTCTTCCAGGTTGTTCCCTCTGTTTCCATTGGCGTAGATTTGTGTTTGATGGATTTAAATGTACTTTTAATTCTGGATAGTCAATTCCCATTTATTTTTGTAAGCCTCTTGGTATACATACAGAGCAATGGAGAGGCAGTGTTAAAATGAGCTGTGGAAATTATATTAGTAGAACCTGAGTGGAGCGGGAAACAATTTGCTTGTAGGCATCGTGCTGGAAAAATGCCGCTGCCGTTGTGCGTGCTGTGAGAGGAGGAGCTGGATGCTGTTACTTCCCTGTGATGAAGCAGTTTTCCCTCTTACTGGCTCCTAGATTTTTTTCTTGGAGGTTTCTGTCATGGCATTGTTTTGCTCTCTGGCGTTCTTGATTTTTATTCAGGACGATGGCATTTGACTTCAAAAACAAAAGGAAGGGGGCCTGATCTGCACTGGTAATTTGACAGCAGCGAAACGTGTTAAATTAGCGTGTGTTTGGAGTCGGAGTGACAGGGTGCTTTGGCACTGCAAAACACATGGATCTGCATTTGAAAGATGCAAAAACTCATGCAATATATTGCTTTCTATAGCTGTGGGGGGTTTTTGTGTATAAATTCCAGTTCAGAGGCCTACAGCCATATAGGGTGAAGCATGATGATCACAGTCTGTTGATATTTATTGTTGTAAACGTTGTTCTACATAAAACTTCCTTTTGGATGTATCAAATCCAAAAGCATGCAGCTTTTCAAGAGGGCATCAAGACTCAAAACTGCCCTTTGGAGGACTAGGAAACTTCAGACTTTTTGGGTTTTTTTTTACCCTCTCTTTGCCTTGTTACCTTCCTAAGAAAGTCCTGAGTGCTAGTGCATGGCTTGGAACAAGAAAATCCAATTTAATTATTCACTGAGGATTTTCCCCATATATGCGTGCCGTGGGGCTGCCACTCTTTACAGATCTGGCATCAATGCCCTCAGAATATCATCTTGCAGAGGCTCTTGAGGAACTGCCCTTTGTGGGTGTGGTGGTGGGGAGGAAAGGGGGAAAACGCGTCTTGTTTTTAATTGTAAAGCTGCCTGCTGAACATCTGAGGGGCTAATTTAGTTCAGGGCTGCTCTTGCATGTTACAGCAGCACCACTGTTTCAATAAAACAGTGCTGTTGCAGGGCTGCAATGTTGACATAAGCCCGGAGTTCTTTCAGTTTAACCACAAGGCTACACGCTTGAGTTATTAAATAATTTTTTAGTTTAATTGAACGATAATCTTTGCTAGGCTCGTTGCTGACAGTTGGGTTTAATGCGCGCAAGATCAAAACGCGGCATCCAGGAGGTGCCACGCTCGCTCTCCCCGCGGCTTTCCGCGCCGCGCTCGCCTCCGAGGGACACCAGCCGCTGCCCTCCAGGTTTGCTCTGCCTCCCCTTCCCAGGGCAAGCAGCAGCTGAGATCGGCAAGCACTGGAGGCAGAGGTCTCCCCTGGGGTGTCAGTAGTCCCCAGCCATTTGTGCCTGGTGTGTACCTGCGCCCTGCTATTTGCATGACAAAGACGCTTCTTGTTGATGCATCTGTTGCCTGGAGGTGTTAGCCAGGATTAAAAAGGCGCCCTGGGGCGCTGAATCTTTTTCTCCACCTTGGAAGGACCTGCTGACTGCAAACTGCCCCGGGGATGCACCCCTGGGGGACGGCGTCCAGACACAGGGCAAGGACCATCTATGAGAAGGGAGAGCAAAGCTTTCCTGGAAAGGGAAAAAAGTTACTTTCATCACCATATGTAGAGGAGGGGAAAAAAAGCCTTTCCTTTTTTTAAAAAAGGCGAATGCTTTAAAAGCTTGCTTTGTAAAATTAAAATTGCAAATCTATAGTCAGACACAGTTTGCCTAATAAACCATAATAATAAAAAAAAGGAAGTCTAATTTCAGTGTAGCTTTTGGAAGGGAGAGGGTGTTTGAGAAGGATTCAAAATCTGCTGTTGTTAGAGAGGTCTTGTCTTCCCCATTCTCCTCCTCCATTTTTTTTTCTTTAATTTTCTTATTTTACTGGCAACTGATTTGCTATTTCCAAGTTGTGTTAGTAGGAGCAGGAGAGTGTTAATTGCAAGTTCAGGTAGGAGCCTGGTGCCGCAGTTTGTGTTGTTATCAGATAGGTGATGAGTGGAGAAGCTCAGCGTGGTTCGGTGGCTGCAGGAGAAGTGGCAGGTGATGGTGCCAAACCGCAGTAACACCTGGTGAATGTGCATCCTGTGTGCTCGAGATAGCTCGTGGTGGTTTCTGAGCGTCGCAGGGGTGCTGAAGATGGGAGATGGAGACAGATGTTTGTTTTCTAACGTGTGGGGTTTTTTCCTTTGGTTAACAAGACTAGTTTTGGGGTGGCAAAGCTTTCTTGACTGATGGGAACGTGGGAACAGTGGAGGTGACTGAAGAAAGATCATTTCTCCATGTTTTAAATTCATCCAGAAGATAATTTTGGTTTTATTTCTCATTCCCCATGAGTTAAACTTCCTACGGAAAGATAGGGGATTTCTGCAACCTGCCTTTTGTCTGTTGTTATGTGTTCTTGGGGTCTGGGTTTCTTTCTTCCTGGCTCATCTGCCGCTCTGTAGCAGCTGGATGTGTTAAATAGGTTGGAGGATACAATGTATAAACATTTTATGGCAACTTGCACAATGCAGAGTATCTGAAAATGACCAGGAATTCCTCCAAGAGAGTTGGATTGCTAGGAACAACGCAGGACTTTCCCAAATTTTGGATATTCCTTGTTTGTTTCTGTACGGCAGGGGGTACGGAGTTAGTTCCCATCTTGAAGAGCTGATGTCCCAGGAGATTCAGAGGATAATATGGGCAGAAGGAAGGATGAGGGTAGAAATAGCAAAAATGAGTGGCTGTGGAGCCTCAGTGAGAGGGTTTTGTTTCCCTCACTACATCTTCTGTTCCTCTGAAAGCGGGGCTGATTCACTTGCTTGTGGGGAAATTTTGGAGCCTCAAGGGGAATAGATGGAAGCTGCTGAAGGACACAAACCTGATTTTCTTTGTATAGTCTTTTCTTGATAATTTGCTTCCTCTCACTATGCAGTTGTAGGAAATTGCTGGGAGCTGTGGCCAGCTGAAACCTCCCTGGCCCAACATGAAATAAGCTTGCACAGTGCAGAAGTTGTGGCTCGACTCCTGCTCCCATATCACTCACCAGAAACCTTTGCTCTGATTCCCAAGTTGACATTGGAGCAGGATGCTCTGGGGCTTTAGGCAGCTGTGGTCCTGTCACAGATGTCTCTCTTCCCTCCACAACCCCAGGTCCATGCCTGAGGAAATGGGCAGCTGAGGGGCTCCACAAGCCAGAGCTGCTTATCCAACACCGAGGCTCTACAGCTTCACCCTGCGCAGCGCACGGCTTTGCAGTGCAGCTCAGTGATGCCGATTAACTCCTTAAATAACTTTGAAATCAAGCACAGGAGCACAAAAGCTTCCTGGCTGTATGGAAGCAGGACTTGATGGAGTGTTTTAGCATTTGCCCAGGGAGGAATTTTAGCACTGTTTTTTGAGGAGCTCACTGAGTCTTGCCAAATGGCAGCGCCAGGAAAGAACAGGAGTCTGCTCAGCCCTAATAGTGGCACCTCATTGCTGCAAAGTGTCTCTCAGCTGCTCTCACTCAAGCATTCATGGCTGGTCAGTCTAAGTTAGTCAGAGTCAGGCCACTGTGAAACATAAACCCAAGCCGTGAATGGTCATGGGATGAGTTTTGGTGGCGTTTTCTTTCTCCCACGTAATAAGATGGATCCTCCATTTGGAAAAGGGGCAGAAGAAGTTACCACACTGGCTCTAGGTTGTCCTAGTCTGAAGTTTGATCTGGATGCTGCTGATCAGAGCTCCAGGCAGAGTCTTAGGTATATAGTTCATTGTTACCGTGATCTTTGGCACATACTGGTGAAGAGAGCACCTTTTCAGCTTTTGCTGCCTCCTCCTTGTCACATTGATGCAATTAGCGAATCTATGTAATTGTGAGGAAAACAAAATGTTCTCCTGATGTGTCAGTGCAGAGGCAGCAATTGTGTGTGTGTGTGTGGCTTGAGCAGAGGCATTATCAAAAACCCCACCCATTGCAAATCATCAAAGTTGGAACTTCTGTATAGCGATACATGTGTGTGTTTATGTCCTAAATATCCCTTTTTTTTTTTCTATACATCTAGGAGCTGATTCAATATAAACTTTAGATGGTAGAGCTGCTGCTTACTTTTTAAAGTGGTTTAAGCAAAATGTCATTCCTGTCTCTTTTCCAACTTAATCCCAGCCCAGAAAAAATGTTAATAAGAATAGCTTGTTATGGGCTGCAAGTGCCAAGGAGGATATGGCTCAAGAAGAAAGCCTGAAGCTCCACAGGTTCAGGCATCAAAAGAGGAAAAGGCTTTTTCCAGATAGTTGCAGCGC